AACCTTTGCTTTCCTGTATGCAAGAGCCATCAAGGTACTTGAAGAGTCTTGTCAAGTCCCATTTTGAATTTCATGAACCCAAAAGACAGAGAAGTTTAAGCAAGAATGACAAACAGTTGAGACATGCTTGGGATAAAATTGGAGTAGATTATTAGTTGTAGTGTTTGAAGAGTAATAAAGAGTTAAATAGAAATAGGTAAAGGTAATGATTTTCCCCTGACATTAAATCCAGTCATGTCTGACTCTGAGGGTTGGTGCTCATCTCCATTTCTAAGTTGAAGAGCCAGCGTTGTCCGTAGACAGCACTGTTGGTCACAGCTGACCTCCAGTTAGAGCGCTCAAGGCCCAGGGCTTCCTAGTTCTTGGTGTCTATGCCACAGTTTTAAAGGTTGGCTTTAAGCCCATCTTTAAATCTCGTATCCTGTCTGCCAACATTACTTTTCCTGTTCTTGAGTTGGGAGTATAGTAACTGCTTTTAGAGATAATGATTGGGTATTCGGACAACATGACCTGTCCAACAGAGTTGATGGCATAGCATCATCGCTTCAATGCTGGTGGTCTTTGCTTCTTCCAGCACGCTGGCATTTGTCCGCATGTCTTCCCAAGAGACATACTGAAGGAGGTATAATAGACAAAGCTGCAAAAACTACCATCATTCTTAGAAATGTTGTCTTTTAATATGTCCTTGTCATTCTCTGATATGGAAACACATGAAAGACAATATTTGGAAGATAAAGAAAGCTATCATTTGTAACTCTTTTGTTTTTTTCCCCAGCCTTTAATTGATTAATCTACTGAATAAATTAATTAAGTAGGCTTTCAATTCTGACATACTCCTTAAACTTTGGGTCCTGATCCCAAATAGGGGCCCCGAGGCTCAATGTTGAGATCACAATAAATTCAGCAACAGTAAAATGTTTTGAATGCTATCAATTTACACAAATCTGTCAGCAACAATGTGCAGTGTTTACAGTGGACTCTGCAGAAAATGCTTCGGCTGTACTCTACAAAGAGTCCTGGCTATTTTCAGTAAATGTTTTATTTTTATAACTATTTTTATAACCTGGGATCATGTAAAATTTCTCCCATGGAAAGGGGTTGCAAGTGGAAAAAAATGTTTAAGAATCCCTGCTCTAAATATCCAGATACAGTTTGATGCAATGGTTAGAGCTCAGAAAAAACGCATGGGAGACCAATATTCAGATCAAGGTTGAAATCCTAGCTGGGCAATAAACTGGACTGATAAGCAACATACCTGTATGTTGAATACATAAAGTTTGTGAATAAACCACCTATGTTACTTTTAAAGAAGTCTACCTATTTTTGGTCTCTGGAGAACTTGATTTAAACCAACATGTTTTAAGGGAGAGTAGATGTTTTTGAGCAACTGAAAAGAACACTTCTGAAATTCTGCTATATGTATGTGTGTGTGTTTAACAGCTGAGAAACCTAATTCCCTTACCTGAATGCAAGAGGATATTTACCATTAAGGAGAAGGTTGATTCAAGCGAGTTTTTAACTCTTCCCAGGGAGATTCCTGATTTTCCCAATGGTAATTAATGCAATTTCCCAAAAGGTTATGGAGATTTCTATTTTCCAAAAGGTTATGATTTCTAACAAGGTCCTGCCTTTCCAAAGATCATGATTCTCCAAAAATATGTCTCCCTAATTCAGTGGTTCTCAACTTTCCTAATGTCGTGACCCCTTAATACAGTTCCTCATGTTGTGGTGACCCCCAATCATAACATGGTTTTCGTTGCTACTTCATAACAGTCATTTTACTACTGTTATAAATCATAATGTAAATATCTGATATGCAGGATGTATTTTCATTCACTGGAACAAATTTGGCACAAATACTCAATATGCCCAAATATGAATACTGATGAGGTTGAATTTGTCATTTGGGAGTTGTAGTTGCTGGGATTTATAGTTTGCCTATAATCAAAGAGCATTCTGAACTCCACCAGTGATGGAATTGAATCAAATTGGGCACACAGAACTCCCATGCCAACAGAAAACACTGGAAGGGTTTGGTGGCCATTGACCTTGAGTTTGGGAGTTGTAGTTCACCTATATTCAGAGAGCACTGTGGACTCACGCAATGATGGATCTGGACCAAACTTGGCACAAATACTCAATATGCCCAAATGTGAACACTGGTGGAGTCTGGGGAAAATAGACCTTGACATTTGGGAGTTGTAATTGTTGGGATTTATAATTCACTACAATCAAAGAACATTGTGAACCCCACCAATGATAGAATTGGGTCAAACTTCCCACATGGAATCCCCATGACCAACAGAAAATACTGTGTTTTCTGATTATCTTTGGTGACCCCGCAGGGATCCCGACCCCCAGGTTGAGCAACACTGCCTTAATTGGAGAGCTATAATGGGAATATTTGGGGAATGGAGCAGAGAAGTTCATAAGCACTTCAAATGAGCATAAATTATGATGCTTTTCTATAAGCTGAATCTTGAATAGATAGAAGAATAGGCCTTTGAACATTTGCTGTCTATTCCTCCTTCTCTTCTCAAAGTTATGGCTAAGCCTTAAAGACATTGAGCATATACACAGCATTTTCCTCTCCATGCTCCAATCAAGTCTTCCAAAGATTAGCTTCCTGATCAGAAAGCAAGACTTCCAAGCAACCCTGAAATGCGTCATCACTAACATTAGAATATATTAGCTGCAAACCTCTCAAAAAGCCTCCTTTCTGACAAATAGTTTTAAACGTCAATATGAAGGATTTGGATGAGTTATTTCAATTCCCACTCTTCATCAGTTTGAGAAGTGTGGTTTTGATGTCTTTTATTGATCGCATTTTTTAAAAAATGTGTCCTTGTATCGTCATAGTAGGCCCACTGAAATCAATGAAATGTAAATGAGTCTGGCATAAGTCCCATTTATTTCAGTGGGCCTACTGTAAGTATGACTAAATCTGGCTCCGGCTCTCCGATGTCCTTTCGCCCCACCCTCAAGCACAGACTTCTTTTTATTTTTGACAAGCCTTTGGCATTTAAGCAATTAAGTGTGGAAGATGGCTGTTGTTTCTCTCTCTCTTTCTTTTTTCTTTTTTTTACTGAAGTGCTTTAAGTGCATCTTAAAGCTTTAATTGCATTTTGGAGCTGCATTTGTTTTTATCTGAATTTGGATGGAACTCGCTGCCTCGAGTACTGTTTTTAGGGAAAGAGCCAGGATATCAATTTAATAAAGACATAAACGTGTAATTTTCTCCAGGTATAATAACATCTTTTGTTCCCTTTCCTCTCCTCTCTTTGTAACTTTCCCTTCCTTTTCTTTTCCACAGAAAGGAAAATGAAACCGGGTTGCTTTTGTCCCATCCCTCACTTAAAGAAGGGCCAAATTTCTCTTTTCCCCCTTTTTCATCTGCCAGGACTTTTATACACTGTAGTTTCTGCTTTCCATTTTCGTTTGGCCTCCAAGGTCTTTCTATAGAGGAGGCTGCTTCTCTTGGTTCCATGTCATGAGCACATTAAAAAAATCACCCACACTTTTTTTTGGCTCATGTTAACTTCCAGACTGTAGACAGAGGCATGAAGGAAACCTGTTAGATTTGTATCTGGCCTGGGTTGTTGTAGGCTGCTATCCAACAGCATCAGCATCTGCCAACATTTTGGAAGTCCGAAAGAGAAGGAGATTTATGTTCTTTCCACAGATCATGGAAGTTCCCGCCTCCTTTTCCTCACCACACCATTTGTAAGAATTGCTTTGCTGAAAGAGACCAAAAGTCTGTCTTGTCCACAATTCCATATTTTGATGAACCTGGAAAGCTCAGAAAGAGGCCATAAGCATTAAGGTTTTTTTCTCTTCAATTATTTTACTTTCAATTTTTGATATCCAAAGGTAATACCGACAAAGTGCTCACCTACAAAGCCCTAAACGGTTTGGGACCTGCCTACCTGCGTGACCGCATCTCCATATATGAATCCACACGTTCCCTTTGATCATCTGGAGAGGCCCTGCTCACGATCCCACCTGTGTCGCAAGCGCATTTGGTGGGGACGAGGGACAGGGTCTTCTCTGTGGTGGCTCCCTGGCTCTGGAACTCTCTCCCCAAGAACATCAGGCAAGCCCCAACATTGGCAATCTTTAGGAAGAGCCTGAAGACCTGGCTGTTCCAGTGTGCCTTTCCAGAATAGGAAACTCCTGGCATCATGTCCCAAATGCACTTTGTCAGTTTTAGGATTGTCTGCACATTGCACCTACCTCCAAAAACCTCTACATATCACCTGTCAAGTCCAGCACTTTTTAAATTTTGTCCATTACATTTGGCCCAGCCTTTAGGTTTTAAATGCATCATGGTGTCATTGTTTTAAGTGTTTTATTGTTTTGCTTTGCTCATATTTGCTTATGAGTTTTATTGTTGTATTTGTATGCTGTTGTTTGTTGGTGGCCTTGGCCTTTGTACCACAACATGAGGAACTGTATTAAGGGGTCTAGGCATTAGGAAGGTTGAGAACCACTGTAATAGAGAGTTGAATAATTCTAACTCTGTTACATCTCACAGATAAGCAATCTTTGAATGGGGCTCTTCCCAAATATGCAGGGAAAATATGCAAGTTTGCATTATGATGGGCCTGAACAACGGATCCCCTCAAACTGAATGAAGTCACAGGCGTGGAGGTCGGGGTCTAATAGCTCTTTGACAGCTTCCTGTTTTGCAGTGTCAGAAACAACAGGAAGTATATTGAGCAGATATCTGGCAAGCTTGGTGGAACACAAGTTGTGCAGATCTATGTGGTGATATTTTGTAAGTTCAGCTGAGGCCCCATTGACACTGCCATATAATCCAGTTTCTGATTCCAGATTGTCTGTTTTGGATTATATGGAAGTGTAGACTCATGTAATCCAGTTCAAAGCAGATAAACTGGAATCAGATACTGGATTATATGATAGTTTAGATCCAGACTTACCAGAATGCTATTCCAATTTCACGTGGTCCCCAAATTCACACTGCTCTTCTTTTCTCACAGCATGCTATGGAATTGTACAAGTTCCCACCGGACCATGGTTCTGTCGAAAATGTGAATCCCAAGAAAGAGCCGCCAGGGTGGTGAGTAGAAGCTGAAACAACGTCCAAAGCATTCCCATACAAAACCAGGCCAAAACAGCCCAGCATACTGGTTCCCGCAGTGGTCAGTCAAATGTTTCTAGGAGTCCTTCCACACAGCCCTATATTCCACAATATTAAAGCAGAAATCCCACGTTATCTGAGTGTGGATTCAGATAACCCAGTTCAAAGCAGATATTGTGGGGTTTTCTGCCTTGATATTCTGGGATATAGGGCTGCGTGGAAGGAACCAAGGAAACAGAATATGTCCTCTGAAATGGTGAAGTATACTGCTCCTGAAATTGGAGGCTTCATCCCTTGTTGTTGCAGCTCATGCCTGTGTAATCAGATACTTCCTCCGCAGCTATGCAGATCTTGTTCCAAGAGCACCATTTAGAGGTGGCTCAGTAACAGTTTTACTCTCTTCATTTCTTAAAGACTGCATGTGACCCTCTGTATTTTCAGGAGTACCAGTGTTTCTATTGTGCTCACCCGCTTCACACACTGAGTGCCTGTTTTTGAAAAATAATAACAAGGATGTATGCTCTGTTACGTAGGCACACAAAAGGCTGTTTGTCTGAAAAGGGGAGAGGGAGGAATTACTCCATGGGATGAAATTTAATTTTAAAGGCTGAGGAATTGCGCTCCTATGCCAGGAATGCCAGCTTTTTAAAGGCATTTAATGGCAGCTTGAACTGTAGGTAGGAGTAAGCGATCAGAGACACTTACCTCCACTCTGTGAGCAGGTTCAGTTGAAATTCCTTATAAAGTCACAGAGCTAGGACAAGGGGGGGTTGTTTTGTTTTGATGTACCTTGATCAGTTGGCAACATTGCCAATGGAAGCTTAAAGGACATCAACCTCTTAGACAAAAACTGTATTGTCTCTCTCAAACCAGAACAGAACACAGCAATTTCTGAATTCAACTAAGTCCACTGCCACCCAGTGGCTAATGAAAATTTTTACATATCTCTTTAAAGGGCAATTTGGTTGGGTCGGATGTCCTTTAAGCTTCCTCTAATTTGACAAATCTCTGGAATATGGTGCAGTTAGCAAAACCATGATGCTGTGATAGACAAGGAAAGTTACAAGAGTTATAGGTACAGTTCTGGATCCAAGATTTGGGAAGCCGTCTAGCATGGCATCACCTGTACCCCACTTAAGGATAGAAGAGGCAGTATATCCAAAGAAAATTTAAGTGGCTATTGATGGATGCTCTATGAAAAATCAACATGGGACCACTGTTGGGATGGTGGTGTTAGGATCCCTGTCAAAAACTGATGTCTTGCCACCTTGTGGTACAAATCCAGAGAAAGGGACTGAAAGGGGACATAGTTTTACATAAAATTGTCCTGTGAAAGCCATCCACTACATGACTACCAGACTCCTCCCAGTAGACTCAAATCAAGGAAAAGCTTTATGAGAACTACCACTCCTCTCAACATCCCCCTAGCAACAGCAAGAGTATCCCTCTGGGCAGCTAAACCAGGAAATCCCAATTAGATGGCTCCTCACGAAAGTCTTCCTCCAGGGGCAAACCAAGCATGGGCAACTTGGAAGTCCCTGAACAGACTCAGAAGTGGAGTGGGTAGATCAAAAGACAACCTGGCAAAACGGCACTACCTAAAACAGACAACTCCACATCTGTATACTTGTCCACTTTGCCCTGCCTCGTGTACAGAGGAAGAATTGTTGGAGGCTACAGACAATGCCGTTGCTGTTGCCCGTTTTTGGTCTAAAGATATTTAGCCGCCTGCACTCCTTTATTTTTATCAGTTTTATACTAATTTATGCAGTGCTTTTGATATGAAATAAATAAATAATGTATGTGGCACCAGCATTGTGTAATCATATTAGTGGAGGGCTACGACTCTTGGAGACAGGCCCTATATCCCAGGATCTGATTCCAAGTTTCTGCTTTCAACTGGATTCTATGCGGCCACACTGCTAGATAATCTTGGATAAACAGAAAACCTGGGATCACATCCTGGGATATAGGGCCTGTCTGGAAGGGCCCCAGGATTCAAATCCCAACTCAGACATGGAAACCCACTTGATAATCCCTGGACAAATCAGATGTTCTCTCCGCCTCACAAAAAGGCAGTGACAATCCCGTTAAATACATATTGCCAGGAAAACCTTACAATGGGGTCTACATACATCAGCATGGACCCCATCGTCACAACTTCTGTATGAGACAAGCCAAATTGGAAGAGGAAGCTGGGCAAGGATTATTACGAACCCACGCAATCGCTTCGGTCATCTGGGGAGGCCCTGCTCGTGATCCCGCCTGTGTCACAAGCGCGCTTGGTGGGGACTCGAGACAGGGCCTTCTCTGTGGCGGCTCCCCGACTCTGGAATGCCCTCCCAAAAGATCTCAGACAGGCCCCTACATTGGCAGTCTTCAGAAAGAATTTGAAGACCTGGCTATTCCGATGTGCCTTCTCAGATTAGGAATCTCCAATACTAAGTCCTAGAAGCACTTTAGTAGAATTAAGATTGCTGCACTCTGCACACTGCACTTACTTATAATCCTGCATACCTCCTGCCACATCAGCACTTTTAATCTTGTACCCATTACTCTGGCCCGACCCAGTTTTATAGTCTTGATGTATTGTTTTTATTTTTGTTGTTTATACTGCTTAGCTGTTTTTAATTTATCTTTAATTTGCTTTATGTATTGTATTGTATTTTGAGGCCTTGGCCTATGTAAGCTGCATCGAGTCCTTCGGGAGATGCTCGCGGGGTACAAATAAAGTTATAATAATAATAATAATAATAATAATAATAATAATAATAATAATAATAGGGGATGGGATGGGAGTAGAGCCAGGCTCCTGGAGGTGAAGGAGGGAGGTAAAAAGTAAGCAGAAGGCTTAGAAAGTAGGCAGAAAAGTTTGTAAAAGTTCCATTTTGGACTCCCACTCCCAGCATATCTGTGAACGGTTTTGAAAATAGTACTCCCAAAAGAGTAACCTTTCCATATGCTGATCTATGGGATGGTACGGATTGAGCTCCATGGAAGAGAAGTCCAGCCAACGGGGCACTGATGAGGAGATATCGGTGGAAAACAGCACAAAGGGTACAGAGTCCTGAAAAGGAGAACAGGTACAGGAGAGAAGAGTTCAGAATGGATGAAAGAGTATGAGAGAGTTGATGGGGAACACCGGAAACCCTAACTGACCTAAACCATAAGGAAAATGTAACACCAGTCCTTAGGTTTATTGAGTTATTGCAGGTGTGGTGAGCATAACTTGGTTTTACAGTCAGCCCTCTGTATTTAAAGAATTGTACTCTCCAAGGATTCAGTCATCCATGACTTTAAAATATTCACACACACACACACCCCTACCTTCCAAAAGACATTTTATACAAGGGATGCTATTGTATGCAATGAGACTTGAACTTCCATGGATTTGATATCCATAGAGCAGTGGTTCCGAACCTTTGGTCCTCCAGGTGTTTTGAACTTCAACTCCCAGAAATCCCAGTCATCTTACTAGCTATTAGGAATTGTGGGAGCTGAAGTCCAAAGGGCCTTGGAACTAGTATCCAAGAGATACTAAGAGCCCACTATATAAGGTCTGCTCTATTGTGCTCTACTGTGGTACAAGGGTGGAAAGGGTGTTTCCTCCAGCACGAGGAGGATCATACCAGAGAGCATTGTGACATGGGGCAGCCTCTGGCATGCTTGCAATGAACAGATGCATGCATACAGCCATCAAGCTGCCCATACTTGATAGTTTTGGGAAAGAAAGCTTAGCTCTGTCTAGTGTGTCAGCTGATGGAGAAAGCATGATAAACTCCATACATTGTTGGGGGAATTTTGCTGGAATCAAATAAGGAGTCTCTTTGCTGGAATTTTGTGACACCCATTTTGACAAGAGGGAAAGAGGGTGTGGAGAGTAGAAAATCATGCCCACCTAAAAAATATTGAAACCTTTTTGCTTCTTCTATAACAGTAGCTCCCAACCTGTGGTCTGTGGACCACCAGTGGTCTGCAAGAACACAAATATGGTCCGTGGCCTCACCATTACTACACCGTTGCCTTGAAACCACACAGCAGCAAGAGTGACTGGTCTCACAAAACCCTCTTATAGTGCTGAAATGGAAATATCATCTCTAGATTATTAAATATGGTTTTCTGTGGGCGATCAGATAATGACTACTGGATGGCATATGTTCTATATCAGAAACTAGAGCTGATGTGGTTTATCCAGCACAATTTTCCGAATTAGCACCCCAAATAACCAAACCAAATCTAAAGTTGACCAAAAACTTTAGTACCCCTTTGGTACTGATGTTGGAGAGTGGTCCCTTGCAAAGTGGTCCCTGGTAAAAAAAAAATCTGTTCTGTAACCTGGCCTCTAGAACCTGAGAATATTACATGTTGTTTAGACTTTTAGTTGAAGCCCAAAATGTAATTTTCCAAGTTCTGCGCATCTTAAGTCTTGTCTATACTTGCAAAACACCCTGGACTCACACCGAATGAAAGCCTGGCTGTCCCCATGACATCCAGCGACTTCTGGTGATTATTGTGGATTGTTTTTGTTTGTTTCCCCCATCTTGGACTAGAAGCAGCAGTAGTTGCAACACAAAGGAAGTGAGATATGGATCTCTCCAGTGGAGTGATGCACTCCCAGAACATCTGAACATTAGTTCTAGATTCTGAGGTGCTCTGGGAAGGATTCAATTGCCCAGTATAGATGAGTACAGCATTCAAATGTCAGGTTATCTGGGAATGGTGGGAATAATAGAACACAAGGCTAGGAAAACTTGAGCCGGCTATCTTTAAACATATTGGTGTTTTCTGTAGGTGTTTCAAAGTAAAAGGAAAGTAGAGCATGGAATCCCCAAGTGTTGTCCCGGATCTTTTGGACTTCAAACTCCCAGAAGTCCCAGAAGTATGGCCAATGTTTAAAAATTCTGGGACATGGAATCCCAGGATTCTGAAAAACCAGAGCATAAGAACTATTGCTGTATCTTACATTTGATGGGGGGAAA